GGGAGGGACTGGGAGGGGACACTGGGACAGACTGGGATATACTGGGACGGGACAGGGACAGACTGGGACACGGGGACACCACAGCGTCACCGCCAGGGAGAGACACAGGGGTACTGGGGGGAACTGGGACAGACTGGGACAGACTGGGACAGACTGGGACAGACTGGGACAGAATGGGACCCGCTCCATCCCCGTGTCCCCTCCCCCACGCCCCGTGTCCCCAGGTGTCCCCCAGGTGTCCCTTTGTGTGTCCCCAGGTGTCCCTTTGTGTGTCCCCAGTTGTCTCCAGGTGTCCCCAGGTGTCACCCCCCATGTCACCAGATGTCCCTTTGTGTGTCCCCAGGTGTCCCCCCGTGTCCCCACCTCTCGTCCTCGTCGTCCTCGTCCCCGAGCGCGTCGTCGATGGCGTCGTTCATCAGCTCCTCCTTCATGTCCATCATCTCCGACTGCTTCTGGAACTCCTGCAGGATGCGCTGGATCTGCGGCAGCTTCAGCTGGGGGACATGGGGACATCAGGGGACATGGGGACATTGGGGACACTGGGACACTGGGGACAGCGGGGACACTGGGGACAGCAGGGACACTGGGGACAGCAGGGGACAGCAGGGACATTGGGGACAGCGGGGACACTGGGGGACACTGGGGACATCAGGGGATATTTGGGACAATGGGGACGCTGGGGACAGCTGGGACACTGGGGACACTGGGGGACACAGTGGACAGCAGGGACATTGGGAAGAGCGGGGACATTGGGGACATTTGGGGACATCCCTGGGGATTGGAGGACACTGGGGACAACGACGACAGCAGGGACACTGGGGACACAGGGACACTGGGGACAATGGGGACAGCAGGGACAGCAGGGACACTGAGGGCATTGGTGACATCACGGACAGCAGGGACAATGAGGGCATTGGTGACATCACGGACAGCAGGGACATTGGGGACAATGGGGACAGCAGGGACACTGAGGGCATTGGTGACATCAGGGACAGCAGGGACATTGGGGACAATGGGGACAGCAGGGACACTGAGGGCATGATGGGGACAATGGAGATACGGAGGGGACACGCAGGGGACAGCCGGGTGACCCCGGGGACAGCAGCGTGGCAGTGGGGACAGCCAGGTGACCCCAGTGCCACCATCTGTGCCGGTGGTGTCACCGTGACCCAGGTGACGCCAGGTTACATGGTGACACACAGTGACACGCAGTGACACACAGTGACACAGTGACACACAGTGACACACAGTTACACACAGTGACACAGTGACACAGTGACACAGTGACACAGTGACACAGTGACACAGTGACACAGTGACACACACACAGTGACACGCAGTGACACACAGTGACACACAGTGACACAGTGACACAGTGACACAGTGACACACACACAGTGACACGCAGTGACACACAGTGACACACAGTGACACAGTGACACAGTGACACAGT